CGTGGGCCCAGGGGCCCCTCCGGGAGCCGTGGCCTGCGGCTGTGGAACACGCCGGAGCAGCCCTGGCTGCCCTCCAACTCCGAGAGTCAGTCTCTCCCCAAAGCAGCAGCAGGCCGGGTTCCCCGGGAGCTGCTCACACATCTGAGTGTTGCCTCTGCAGCAGCGAGTGGCTGCTCAGCAGGGGAGACGGCTAAAGGGCTGCTGGGCAGACACCGCTGCCCTTACACCGGAGCCTCCCGGACAGCAGCAGCTGCCCCTCCCTGTGCGCGCCCACGTGCTCTCTTCACGCGCGTGCACCCGCCTTTAATCCCACGTGCACCTCCACAGGTGGGAACTGTCATCATCACCTCCTACTTTTCAGGTGAGGCCACAGCTAAGCGGCTTCGCTAAGGTAGTCAGTGGCAAAGCCGCTGGTGCAGTCTTATTTATTTCTCACTAACATCTAATGTTTCCGTCTGTCTCTCTCTGAATGCCTCACACACACACAGACACACAGACACACACACACACAGCCTGCAGCTCCATCCCCTCTGTTCACTCCCCACCTGTGACCTCTCACGTATTGACTATTCAGTGATCAGACTTGTTGTCTGATGGCTTCTGCTGGAGGCGTGGATGGCAGCCATCGCATAAACAAGGCTCAGAAATAGGTGTGCAGGGAAAGCTAAGTCCCGTTTAGAAGAGAGTGCCTTGATATATTTTTTATGCCCATGAGCAAACCAGAAACAGTTTAAAATCATTCACTGCATCCTTTTCCCACTTGATTTTCTGGTCCCCCTTACGGAAGAAATTGGAACTGTAGCACACAGTGCTGCCTTGGGATGAAACAATGGTGGGAACGACATGAATTCTTTGGCTTCCAGGGGCTGAAAGGGACGTCCCAGCTCTCTCCAAGGCAGCCCTGCCCGTCACACCCACCCCTCCTTTACACCCTCCCGCAGTTGGTGTTTCTCACAGGAGACCCTCCCCCAGCACGCACCCCACCCCATGGGACGGCCAAGTTCAGGTATCAGAAATGGGTTCAAATCCCAGTGGGGGACCTAACGCACAGGAATCCTGACTTTCATGGCCCCGTTTCCTCACCTGTGAGATGGAACCGTGCTCAGGAGAACAGGGAGCAGTGCTCTGACCAGCAGCACAACCTTCCTCGGAGGCGTTAAAGAACCAACCATTTGCCCATCGAACCCGGATGGTGTGAGTTCACGTGGTCGGGGGGCTGGGGGTGGAGAGAACCCCAGGCATCCTGTCCAGCTTGTCCAAGTGTTGGCGAGTGTCCCTCAGGGAAACCTCCTGGATCCAGCGCCCACCCACCGTGACGCGCACACAGTGGGGCCGATAATCCAGAGCTCCGCCCCCAACCTTGGGCAACAACTTCACTGCTCTGGGCCCAGCCGCCTCTGTAAAAGGTGGCGGGTACTTCATGTCTGAGATGCCTTCTGACTCCACAAAATGTTAACACGCTGGGTTTCACCAACCGTTAAGTGAGCTGCTTCCACACAGTTTTCTGGGTAGAGACGTTGAGAAACCACACCAAGCAGGGATTTTCAAATTCTGAGGCTAAAATGATTAGGTTTGCCTGGCTTCTAGTTGATCTCCTGGGTCACGTGCAAACAGTTTTCATTTATCAGATTTGTTTTCAACTACGTCCGTAAAGAGCTCCTAGTTTAGTCAAAGTAGGAACATTACAAGCAAGTAAATTGGTGCTGACTGCATGCTGACCAATGAAAAGAAATCCTGTGAGGCTGTCGATAAAATCACGTTTCTTTCTGGCATTTTCTCCTCCTTGAGCAGCTGTCTTTCTTCAACCCTTAGTTGGCTCCGGGCAGCCTCCCTCTCCGGCCCTCCCTGCCACCTCCTCCACTTTTACACGCAACTGCGCACCCCACTCAGAAGACAGAACTCCTCGGTGGCAGGGATGGCGATGTTCTCGGACTCCTCTCAGGGTTCTCTTTCCTTTCCCGCCTCCCCTGCACTTAGACCAGCCCCAGGGACTGACCCAAGGACTGTGGACGGAAGTGACATTGCCACTGTGCCCTAAGGCCGTGAGGGACAGCTCGGAGTTCTCTCTGCCAGCAGAGACCTGAGGTGGCAGAACTGCAAGGAGGACGCTGCTGGGCCCTGGCCACCCTTAGAACCACCTGGTGCATCACGCCAGGGCACCATGGACAGTAACACTCGTAAATTACTGAGCTGTCAGGGTTTCTCACCTCAGCCTACCTAGTGCCTCCCTTCCAGGAGTATTTCATTTAAGCGGAGATTCTAGGGAACCGGCAGTGCTAAACATGACGGAAGGAACTTCTCATAGTGGAACTGTGATGCGGATGTGACCACAGCCGTTGCGGCAGCATCTGCAGAAAAAGAGATGGCCTCCAGGAGCCTTCTGGATACCACGGAAACCCGGGCTGCAGGCTCCTAGTGCTCCTATGCTGCCTGGCTCCAGAAAGGGAAATTTTGAGACATTATTCTTTCAGGCAAAGAGTCTCCAAGTCAAGTTTCCAGACAGAGGCAAAACAAGGGAACCTGTTTTCTAGAATGGTCTTGGAAAAGTGGTCACCTGGTGCCAGAGATAGAAATCCCTTTTCCTTCCTGCCCCAACTCGTATTGTCAATTATTAAAACACCTAGTTGGCTCTCTCCCAAAATAACACAAGGGCCCAGAAAATTGGATGACTTGGAACCATTTAAGAATTCACTGGGAAATAAATCTGGGGCCTGGCTGGCATGACTCGGTGGTTGAGTGTCGACCTATGAACCAGGAGGTCACAGTTCAGTTCGATTCCCGGTCAGGGCACATGCCCAGTTTGTGGGCTCGATCCCCAGTGTGGGGTGTGCAGGAGACAGCTGGTCAATGATTCTCATCATTGATGTTTCTATCTCTCCCTCTTCCTTTCTCTCTGAAATCAATAAAAATATATTTTTAAAAACCAGAAAATGATTCTGGGAACTTTTTGGAAATATGACGGGATGACAATCATGTGCAGCTGGTGAGTGAAGCCGGCCCTGGCATGGCTGCCTTTCGGGAAGACCTCCCACAGAGCCCTCGAGTTTCGAGGATTACTCAGATGGTCGCAAGTACAGACTAGGGATTGGCTGTCAGCAAGCAGGCCAAGTACTGACTTGGAGCCTAACCTGAAGTTCCATGTTAGAAAAAGTGTCCCCCACAGCATGGCTCCCAGGAAGAACAAGCTAGCAGCAAGGCACCCCATCTGACTGCACTTTCTTGTCACTCTTGCCCCAAACCGGACGTGCTAGGTTTGGGACGTGGCCGGGGGAGAGGGTCCCTCTGGACTCTGCCGCTGCTTTTCCCTCTGCTCCCCGCACCGAGCCCGAGTGGGCATCCAGAGAGCCTACTGACACATCTGGGACCCGGACCCCGCCTCAGTGATACTCCAGATACAATCCCTCTGGGGCCGGCAGCACATGCCAACCAAGTCCCAACCAGTTTATTAGTTTAACCAAAAGGTAAACAGACAGACGATGGAGATGCAGAGAGACAAGCATGCGAGCAGCTAAAGGCATGACCCGGCTGTCCACCAGGAAACAAGTTTAAGACATTTTCAAGTGGCATTAAATAAATGAGGCTACGTTTTATCTACTTGGAATTTCCATGGTCTTTTAAAAAAGGAAAATATATTTGTACATTGCAGTATATAAATCTAGACTCTACATGTACAGTATAAATACACAGGGCGAGCACATGGGCACACGTGTCCCGGTAGCTGCACTCGAAATGAGGCCGGCAGTTCTCTACTTCCTCTTTGACCTCCAGACCAAGAAATCCAGGCGGAGGCTGCGTTGACTCCAGTGTCCATGCTGTCCAGCACCCTGGCCATCTCCTCCCAGCACAGGGGCACAATGGGACAAGCCTCGCAATCAGAAGAAAGTGCTTTCGACCAGCTGGAACCCGGTCGGTCCTTGCGCTGCATGGACTGGTCTCGTAGGAAGGTCTAGAGCAGTGGTTCTCAACCTTCCTAATGCCGCGACCCTTTAATACAGTTCCTCATGTTGTGGTGACCCCCAATTTCATTGTTATAAATTGAACATAATTAAAGTGATTAATCACAAAAACAATATGTAATTATATATGTGTTTTCCGATGGTCTCAGGCGACCCGTGAAAGGGTTGTTCAACCCCCAAAGGGGTCGCGACCCACAGGTTGAGAACCGCTGGTCTAGAGGAATGGTGACGCCTTCCCGGCTCATTCTTTGGTCCACTGCCCCCGTCTCTACACTTTTTCTGGTGTTTCTTACATATTTCATAGCCATTTACGTAGCATAAATCTCACATAACCTTTGGGAGCCGTCTTACAGGATTAGGGAAAAAAATGAAGCTCCGTACTACAATCTACACTTCATGTGTGGTTTCGTTCTCTTTATTTTTGGAATGAAATCTGGTATTTTGAGAAATTTTTTTTAAAAAGGACAACATTCTGAAAGTGCTTCTTACACATGTCAACATCTCAAATATGGCTTTTTAGTTCAAACCCCAGCACAGCTCAGATTTGGAATGGAGAGGTTGATGGTGTTACTAGAGACCAAAAAAAAAAAAAAAAAAAAAAAAAAAAAAAAAAAGTCACTTAGCAGGAACGCTGTGATAGCAAGAGTGGGGACCTAAAAAAACAAAAAACAAAAACCTCATTGATTCCATGTGGAAGAATGTACCTCTTTAGAAATGCTTTAGGTGACACGCGCAGCCCGCTTCTCTCCCCATGAGGAGGCACTTTAATGCTACAAGTTAAACGTAGAACAGGACACAGCTGCCAGCAGGGAACACCTTCCCAGGGGCTGCTAATGGCGCAGTCGCTGCTTAGAAATCTTTCACAGGCTCAAAATGATCAAATGAGAGTCTAACGCAGGAGAACTTTCTACACCTGAGGAACAAATTGCACATAGTATGGAGGTGCCGCCACCCAGATGCAAAAGGCTCCAGACACAGAGCTTTCCATGCAAAAGGCAATCGGAAAAGGCCCCCCGGTTACCAAAGACCATGGCTACTTGTGCAGTGAGGACTGTGATGTGCGAGTTAGGGGGAAACAGACATCAAAACGGGCTCACGTTGATTCCAGAAGTGTCTTGACGCTGGACTAGTGGGTCGGTTGGGCCTCCCTGCCTCCCTGGAGCCGAGGAGACGGGATGAAGGCAGAGGTCGGCCGGGGAAGCCACGTGCTCATCCAAACCCTTTCCCAAGCGGCCTCTCATGGAACCCGTGGCACTGCAGCCTCTGCAGCTGTTCTCTCCTGGTGGCACTTAATCGGGAAAGCCCTCCTCTCCCTGTAAAACGGTGTGGGCTCCTCATAATACTGGCACGAGGACTACTCTGCATTCCTGGGACTGGATCCACTTACTTGGCAGGTAGGAAACCGGGTTCTCAGTTCCTTCTATTTCCCTGTAAAAAGTGACCTCAACTCCCCAGGCCATTGTGCAAATTTGTTTCTCCACAGTCCAGAATATCCTCTAAGTCCCTCATGTATTCTCACATACACACATACATACCAAATATGTGTTATATGTATTTATAAATGTGGGTAATTTTGCATTTCAGTCTCAAATTGGTCAAAGAGGATCAGTGAATCGTCCATTCTTTCATTTCAGATTCATCTCCAATCTCCCCACGGCGCCTATCACACCGCAGGTACTCAATAAATAGCTGTTGGCTTCACCAATGATCCTCTAACACTGGATGGTAGCTGCACTCACCACGGCCTGTCCTTAGCCCCTCTCTGCTGTGGGCAAGGAAGGGGCCGGTAGTCCCTCCCTTCAGAGGGTGATTTTGCTGTGTCTGTTGCTCCAGCAGCCCCGTTTAGCTGTCCTGGGCAAGGTCAAGCTCGTCCGGCTCCGCAGTTTCACTGGGTCTTCCGTGGAGTTCTTTTTGCGTAAAATGAAGTCAAAGTTCACTTGGCTGTTCATGGCGTAGAAGACGTTTGCCGAGTCTGGGATCACGAGTTCTAAAACAGAGGAGCGAGAGAGGCAGTCAGCTCGCGCAGGTCAGCCCAGCACCGACAGTGGCCGGGGCAGAGTTTGCCCAGAAACAGGCTGGGACTATGGCCCTCAGTCCTGGGAATGTGAATTGAACCAGACAATGACCTCCTCCCCCCAAGAAAAGAGGTTCTCACAACTTCTTAATCCCAATTTTAAAAAACTAAGTGCAAATAGGGGCTTAGAAATTCAGTTCAAGTGCAATGTTCTTTAACTGGAGGAAGGTTCTACAGGAGACAGAGTCCAGGTGGAGTTAAACGACATTCCCAAGATCACAACTCAGTAAGCATGAGAACTGGGACCAGAACCCAGGCCTCCCTCCTCCTGTATTACTACTCCAATATGCAGCTTTTCTTGAGACTGAGAGGATCTAATGACATGGGGTAGGGGGGAGGGAGGAAGTATAAACTCTACAGTGTTTTCCACAACTCTTTTTTGTTGGACTATCAAAACATTTTTTGAAGCAATCCCTAATCCAACCAGTATTTTATTCCTTGTGAGGTCCTGCTTCATCATGAGCTTGCATTTTAATATTAAACAGCATCATATAGGACAGTGTATATCTGGTAATGTGTAAGCTATTGTCTATTTCAATGATTCCCAACTACACAGCTGCAATTTCTGAACAAGGATTATTCCAAGTGTGATATGAAATTATCCAGCAAAGTTATTTTAATTCTTTTTTCTTTTTAAAAGAAGGTATATACTATTTAGCACTCAGAGGAAATGGGTGTCTAAAAAAACCAAACAGGAATACAAAAGGTAAACTGTGCAAGTGTAGCTTCGTGGCAGTGGATGGGGAGGCATCTGATTGTGGGTCTGGGCTAAGTCAACCTGTGTGAACTTCAAACACGGAGACTCTACAGCAAGACTGACACAATCAGGTTCTAGGCGACTCGGGTGGATGTTGCACAAATGTTTCATGAAGAAAAACTCCCTTAAAGTGTTTCCAATCTCCTGCCCACATATTCCCAAGGACCAAGGCCTCAGGAGATCAAGCAGCCGGACCAAGACCGCGCAGCGGTGAACAAAGCTGGGCCCAGCCTGCACGCTGGGATTCCTGGATCTTCAGACCCACCGGCCTCACCTTAGTGTTGTTCTGTTGGTAACATGGTAGAACTCAAGAGACCACTTTGAGGCCTAGAATTTTAACTGAAAGTACATTAAACCATATCTTACAGCTGAATGAGTGAGAACATTTCTAAGAGGTAGCTGAGAAAGAATTTTCCATGAGCTTTAGTCTTCCATCTCTAAGAATAGGTACTACTAACTTGGGCCATTCTCTGGGTTCAAGGTACAGCCCTGGGTGACTGGTTGGTCAAATGGAGTATGACCAGCTGCTCCCTTCCCACACCCCGGCCTGTAGAATTCTCCTTTGCCCTTCCAAGGGCTGGTCGAAGACATTCGCACTGGTCAGCGTGGGGTCTGTCAGCTGTATCTGCTGCTCCTCTGGACTTACAACCCCAATTCAAATGAGCAAACAGACACATTCAGGGTGATTGTTTGCTCAGAGTTTTCATAAAAGGAATTTTTTAAAATAATGGGTTCTAAGCATATTGAAGTATGTCATAGTTCATCAATTTTTTTGTTTCAAGAAATGTGAGCGAAAGACCCTTAGATGCGGGTGTTAGAAGCTTTTGCTACTTGAAGGTCAAACATGAATAAAGATAATGGCTCAGTTGGGAGTCCCATGCGCCGAAGGGTTGCCAGTTCAATTCCTGTTCAGGTTACATGCCCTGATTGTAGGCTTGATCCCTGGTGAGGGGTGTGCGGGAGGCAGCCGATCAATATTTCACTCTCACATCAATGTTTCTCTCTCTCCCTCTCTCTCTAAAAATCAATAAAAAATCTTTTTTTAAAAAAAGGTAAACTGAAAGACAAACTTATAAGCTTCTCATAAATGATTAACTGAAACAATGATAAATGATTACAGAAACTGCTACATTTCAGGTTCACACACAACTTAGACACACATTATTGGGTAAAGGAGATGTGTGGCCATCTGCACAGACCCAACAGAACCCCCAACTATCCCCACCTCCTGACATAAGATGAGAAGTTTACAAAGAATGGGTAGTAGGAATGCTCAGCAAATAACAGGGTTGGGGAGGGGGTGGGTAGCCTGAGACACTTAATTCTACAAGAGAGGTGATGGCAAGGTTCCCCACGCAACTCCACCTTTGCACAATTAAAAACCCCACTGATTCAATTTTTTAAAGGTACCCATTTTCTTTCTTCTAAAACTGGGGCAACCTGCGTGAGGAAGCGGGAGAAGGAGCTTGCGCCCACCTTTGTCCTCCGAGATGACCTGCACCAGCTCGTACTCCTCAGCTGGGTCCGCGTCCAGGTTGTGCTTCAGCATCGCCCTCTGGATCACAGCGGGAGTCTTATCCTGGCTCGTCAGCTGAAAGGCAACGAAGTGGTGTGCAGAGTACTTAGCCTCCTGTCTCCTGAAAGAGTTCTCCGGCCCCCTTATTCTTGCTGTCTTGTCCTTTCCAGGAGAAATGGCCCAGGGGAGTGAGAACAGGACCAAGAGCCAGAACTTCTGGGCTCTCGTCCTGGCTCCAGCCTTAGTAGACAAGGGATGATGGGCCCTCTACTCTCAGTCACCTACTCCCTGAGTCACAGGGTCCCCCTGTTAACAGAGAGAACGAATGCCTTGCTTATCTCCCTCGCACTGGTTGAGGTTCCACCAAAATGATCCTTATCTGCTGAGCTGCTGCTATGGCACCGGTTACAACCTGTGGGCCAGAAATGGCCTGTTCTGCACACCAACCATTTCAAAAAGCACAGTGGCCCTATGACCCAGCAATCCTACTCCCAGGTATCACCAAGAGAAATGAAAACATATGTCCACAAGAGCACATGTACACAAACGTTCATAGCAGATTTACTCGTAATAGCTAAAAACTGGAATCAACCTGAATCTCCTTCAACAGGACTTTAGGGAATGGATAAAGAAATGATCCTATGTTCCCAATAGAACATTAAGGCAACACGGGGGATGAATCTCTACATCACGTTGAGCCAAAGTAACCAGACACAGCAGATTACATGCTGCAGGAGTCAACTAGCCTGTGGTGTTAGAAAACTAACTTCAATTAACCTTAACTTTAACCAGGTTAAGAGGGGATTGACAGGAAAGGGCACAAAGGAATTTTTGAAAGGATGAAAAAAGATTCTTTATCTAGACTTGGGGTGGTGGTCACATACATAGTCATAGACATGGACATTGGCATGGACATAGACACAGACAGAAATAGAGAATAGAATAGAGAATTCTCACAATTCAAAGAACTGAACACAAGATTAAGAGGGGATTGACAGGAAAGGGCACAAAGGAATTTTTGAAAGGATGAAAAAAGATTCTTTATCTAGACTTGGGGTGGTGGTCACATACATAGTCATAGACATGGACATAGACACAGACACAGACAGAAATAGAGAATAGAATAGAGAGTTCTCACAATTCAAAGAACTGAACACAAGAGCTGTGATTATAATTGTTTGTAAATCATATTCCAATAAAAGTCAGTTTCTAAATGTTTAAAAATAATAAATCTAGCACTTAAGTGTAAGTAAAGTTTCCCCTCACCACCAATTCTGACTTTGTCCCCTTTATCTCTGCCCATCAGCCGCCCGCTTGCAGGGTGCTCAGAAATGGCCAGTCGGCACACCGAGGGCTGACTCATGTACCATCCCTTGAGTGATTTCTTTAAATATGACAGAAAGCAAATGGAAACACAAATTATTCTTACTTAAAAATAAAAGCTGTTCTCACCAGGAGGTAAAAGGAGAGACAACCACAAAGACAAAACAAACAACGACGTCTAAAGTCCTCCAGAAAACTGTGTCATTGTGAGCCCAAGGACGGCAGGGCCCAGATGTCTCCCTCTAGTGAGGGCAGCAGCTGGTATCTGCGACTCAATAAACAACATGCCCTACAACGGGGTCCTTGTAGGTGACAGAAACTTTGCACATTTGTCCGTTACCAAAACATCTGGCATCTCCATTTCCGAGGAGAAGTAAGTGTACACAAAAGCTTACAGGAGGAAAATACGCTGTTGGATGGTCTGAAGGAAATGCTCCCACAGCTGAGTCCCAGTGGAGGAGGAGCATGAAGCCCAAGGAGAGAGGACACCACATGAGGATGGCATGTTGGACAAAGACGGTTGTCAACTTGAAACCTACAGCCAGGCTACCCTTACCTTCTTTACCTTAATCTTCCCCAGGTGAGTCCAAAAGAAGATGGCATAGGCAAGGGCTTTCCTTGGGTGATTAATACTTTGTACCATAAAAACTACGGAGGGAAACTGAAGATCACAATTAGTATTAACAGCTCAGTCACGCAGCCGACCTTACCTTCTTTACCTTAATCTTCCCCAGGTGAGTCCGAAAGAAGATGGGATAGGCAAGGGCTTTCCTTGAGTGATTAATACTTTGTACCATAAAAATACGGAGGGAAACTGAGGATCTCAATTAGTATTAACAGCTCAGTCACGCAGCCGCATGCCGATGTACTGAACCGGCACCATCCAGTAGTTATACATAATGAGCCACATTTGTAATTTTAAATATCTAGTAGCCCCATTAAAAAAAAGTGGCTTAAAAGAAAAATTTATTTAAATAATATATTATTTAATCCAATACACTCATGAACCGGCACCATCCAGTAGTTATACATAATGAGCCACATCTGTAATTTTAAATATCTAGTAGCCCCATTAAAAAAAGTGGCTTAAAAGAAAAATTCATTTAAATAATATATTATTCAATCCAATACACTCCAAGTATTATTTCAGCATATAATCAATATAAAAATTGTTAATGAGATAGTTTACATCTTGTTTTTGTACTAAGTCTTCAAAATCTGGTGTCTAGCCTGACCAGTGTGGCTTAGCGGTTGAGCATTGACCTATGAACCAGGAGGTCACGGTTCAATTCCTGGTGAGGGCGTCAAGGCACAATACCCAGGTTGCAGACTCGATTCCCAGTAGGGGGCATGCAGGCAGGAGCTGGTCAATGATTCTCTCTCATCATTGATGTTTCTATCTCTCTCTCTCTCTCTTTCACTCCCTTCCTCTCTAAAATCAATAATATATATGTACATAAATATATATGTATATTTTTAATCTGGTGTCCATTTTATACTATTCCCATTTCAAATGTTTAATTTCTACCCATAGCTAGTGGCTACTCCACTGAATGAAGCCATGTGCAATGATGCTTGGGTGTCACCTCCATGCACCTGAAATAAGGACTTAAACAATTCCCTGTGCCCCTTCCCTGAGGTTAGTTTTCTAACACCACAGGTTGTGTAGCCTGTTTGTGAAAGAACAGACTCCTAGAGGATGCAATCTGTGTCTGTTTCTTTGGCTCAAAATGATATTTTAGAGATTCATTCACAGTGTTGTATGTATCACTTCTTAGTTCTTTTTAGTTCAGAAACACCCTACATTTGCTGAGGGGAAACTTACTTCTCTGGTAGGCATGTGAATAAGCTGCTGAAAACACAATAACATGATGACCGGGGCTTCCTGGCAGTTCTCCTACCTTCCCAACGAGGCTCCTGGACCAGCCCCTCCCTTACTACTGAGAGTTCTGTCTCAGGCTACACTCACTCTCCCATGACATAGCCACCCAGCAGGGCTGCATGGCTCCCAGTATTCGACTCCAGTACCAACCCGTATCTCTGACCAACTACTAGACAGTGCCATCTGGATAGCCTACCAGTACCTCCCATTTCAATGCTCCCAAACCTCCTCCTCCAGGAGTTCATTCCTCACTTGACAGGACCACCAGTCACCAAGCTGCCTGGAGAGCCCGAATCCTCCCTCTTCCCCATTCCCACAACAGTAACCAAAAGCTGAGAAATTAATGAATGGATTCTACAACTCTACCTCATAAAAATATTTTTAAAATTCATATCATCTCCAATCACATGACCATCATCCAAGCCCTCATCGTCTCCCACATGGAATATGATGGCAGCTTCCAAACTTGCTTCCCCACCTCGGTCCCACCCCTGCACCCCAGCATCAAGACTCCACAATCCCAGTTACTTTTTTAATGACTAAATCTGATTGTGACTTAAGAGCCTTCAATAACACCCTATTGCCTGTGGGACTATCACACACTCCTTCATGTGGGCCTGGGGCCTTTTATGATCTAATCTCATCTCTCTTAGAGTGGTTAAAACATTTTGAATAATGTTTTACTATCTCCCATTTGATTGTAAGTTCCTCAAAGACAAAAATGTCTCATTCATCTCCATATCCTCAAATCCTTGTCCAACGACTGGTACACAACCAAGTTCAGTAAATACTGTTGATTCAATGAATGCCTTAGTAAAGCTTTTCTTTAGAATGTTAGAAGATAGTTGGCTCCGTATCCCTTGTTATATTCAGAGCTGAGCTTGTGAGCATTCAAAATGCCCTCAGAGAAGACAAGTGATGAAGCTGAGATATAGGATGTATTGAGGGGTTTCATAGCAAAGGAGACCTGCTTTTCCATCTACGATATTTCCTATAAACTAGAGTCTATTCTTGTGATAAACACACCAGACCTGACACACATACACACCAGGAGAGGCTCTGTGTTCCAAAAAGACTGCCTTCATTCAAAGTGCTTTTGGGACTGTGCTCAAAAATACAGTCTGTATGAGAGCCTCAAGAAGGTCAGTCTCATTTATCTTAAACAGTTCCTCGTGGACTCACACTGTGTTTCCAGCTTGATCATCCACTTTACTAAGTTTAATTCCAAATAACTGAAAGAAAAATTCACCGCCATGGAGGACATTGCTAAGACTGCATGGCCACTCAATTAGCACCCAGACATGGAACCCTCAGGAAGACTCCCAAGAAGGTGTGCAGCAGCGGTCTCCCTGGCATCCAAGTAGACATTTCTGGAAAGGATGGCACTGACCCGGGGAATAAACCTTAGCAAATTTTAAGATGTAAAAATCATCCTATATGCACTGTGAGAAAGTAGATATTTAGATACTAGAGGCCTGATGCACAAAAGTCGTGCAAGAATAGGCCTTCCTGCCCCTGGCTGCTGGCACCAGCTTCCCCCTGGCACCCGGGACCCGGGCTTCCCTCCAGCCGCTGGCAGGCACCCGGGACCCGGGCTTCCCTCGCAGCCCTAGCTTCGTCTGGAAGGATGTCCGGTCTAATGAGCATAATACCCTTTTATTATTATAGATATGCATCGTTGGTGTATGCCCAGGGAGGTCTAGGAACTGATCCTTTGGCACATACTCATTTTCTGTGAACGTGTATGTATATGCTATTGGCACATATTTTGGGGTGTGGGCCTGGGCGCCTCACCATGATGCTCTTGTACATGTTGCCGTTGTTGTCCTCTACACTGATGCGGATTATGCAGGTGTCTTCGTTCTGCTGGTTGTAAACGGGAGGCAGCACAGTCGAGGTAATGGAGGTCACGGAGACGGAGCGCTTGTGGATCTTGGGGTTGTTGTTGCAGGTCGGAGGGGAGGAGAGGGGGTTGATTAAGGACGACATCCCTGAGGAATTTGTGTCCATGGAATGGATGGAGGAGCATGACGAGGACGACTCGGAGAGCTGGAAGAGTAAACACACCCCAAAGTAAATGGAGCGTTAGAATCTTGGCCGACAGTGCGCTTCACAATTCTCAGAGCCCAGTTGTTGAGACTAGTACATTTCCGCTCTTTCCTCCACACAGCCCACAGCACACGTGTGTCTTGTCTCTGCTGTGAGCACCTCCTGGGCAGATGCCTGTCAGTGACTCAGTACTTGACCTGATCGCTCTGCATCTGTGTGAGGCAAGGGGGCGCTCTCATTCCCCCTTAGCAGCTGCTCTTAAGGACGTCAACCAGCAGGTGGCAGCAGATACCAGAAGCTGGAGGCAATAGGGGCTCCCGCAGGAAGTTGGAAAACCTGACAGGGCAGAGGAAAGAGTCACCTGGGGTTTTTCCAGCCCCACTAGCCCTGAGCAGGAATGATGCCCGACATGCATTTCCATCCTGACTCCACTTCGCCATCAGATTGCATAGCAGGAGATAAATGTTCTTATTTTTAGAAGATTCTAAGAGGAGGAGTACATTTTACTGCCCTACATGTACTATTAGTCCTAAAAAGGCCTCTGGAGGTCACCCGGCCCATTCCCTTTCTACTGCTGAGGAACCTGAGGCCAGAGAGAAAACTGGTGACAGTACCGCCTGGACATGCTCCCAAGTTCCCTGGTGCCCGTGGTCAGGTTCACAGAGCCACGGCATAGCCATCGCATAGCCAGGGCCCAGTCTGCAGCTGGTGATGGCGCAGTGACTGAACATAGTACCCATCACCTCGGTGACAGTTATCATGTGAGGCTGGGATGAGCTTGCACATGTCTTGTGAACAAAACGCACTGTAGTGATGAGTCAGAGAACATGTGACTTACCCGAGGGCACACAGCCCGTGAGCGGCTCACCACTTTCCACATTTGCTTCTAGAACCAACTGTACACATTTCCATGTTGCATATCAAGAATAATTAAGGAGTGAGATGCTATGTTCATGAGCTTTTCTAATTAACGACACCGTTTTCCTGTGTGCAATACCAATTACCAAAAAAATATAGGATGCCCCAAATTCACAAGGTGGTGTTCCAAAAAGTCATTGCATTGAATCATTTTAAATATCAACTTGTATTGTACAAAAATACAAGTAATCTCTCAGAATGAGTTAAGCCAATCATCCTATCAAATAACCTGGACGTCCTTTAAAAAATAAGTGACATTAATTTATTTCATACCAGTCTACCTTTCCATGGAAACAGAGCTCCAGGAATTTAGTTTTCTGATTACCTGGTTTCCAAGTAAAATGGAGTCTACTCCATTGTATTTCCCATGGACTTCCTCCTATGGCATAAACATACATTAAATTCTGCATGGTCAGTTTAATTAGAGCCCAGCAAGCTGATGTTTCAGCTCTGAAATGCAGGCGTCTTACTGTGGATCCATCATAATATGGTTTAGTTACATTTTTTCCTTATGCTCCCTAGTGAATGAACGAGGGGCTCGGTGTGAGGCTGGCCGATGGTGGGTAGTCAATAGGCTCACTCTGCCTGCAGGTGTACCTCACCGGAGCCGAGAAAGCCCATTTTCCAGTTACTGGTTCAGTTTCATCACCTTCTTTTTCCTTCATATAAATCTACTGTCCTTTGTTCGATTTTCCATGATCTCAATGTCATTTACAATTCAGGTAAAGCCTGGGAGGTAAAGCTGGGTTACAGCAGCTATAAACAGACCTCCCGAGGAGCCCCATCTTCTTACTGAGGATTTACTCTGAGGGGCAAGTGTGAGAATAAATGTTTGGAAATTGTGATCAAGGAAGTGAAGACGGGAGGGGATTACACTTCACTAAAAAGCCAGTGGGGAAGGCAGAGTGCCAGCTTGGAGGCTGCAGCATCGCGGAGCAGGAGGGGCTGTGGAGGTCACCGGGGCAGCTCTGAATTGAGCAAGACAACTGAGGCCTTTCCATTAGCTTCCAGGGATGCTGAAGCCTAGCAACTACTTGCATCCAATTCAATGACTCATTTTTAAACCTACAGAAATTCATGACTCGGAGCCAGGTTCATCCAAAGAATAAAAATGTCTGACTCATGCGAGAAATTGAAGCACCAGGGTGATCAGGGAGACAAAAAGGAATGAAGCAAGGGGTGAGCAAAGGACACACGGGGCTTCGGTGGCGTTTGAGAAGGGATGACCTGGACCTACGCGCATGTCCATTGCAGCAACAGGTGCAAATGAGATTCTGTCTCCCTCCTGACCGGGCAGAAATCCCACAAAGATGTGGGCGATACCTCAGTTGTCACTTCTGCACAATGTCCATCATCTGAAAAGGGGCCTACAAACCATAAAGGCCTGTCCGAAGGTGAATGAGACTTCACTCCAGACGGACAGACACAATGCTGCAGGTCAAGGTCATGGAGATGGATCACGCCCCTGGCTTAGGAAAAATGCCCGAGAAATAGCTGCAGGTGTTTGCAGAGACTTTCCTCACAATTTGGACAATGTTCTCTGGATTCCAAAACAGGGAGGTGAGAAACCCAGCTGGGGCAGCACCGGAGTCATCTCGGTGATGGGCCCAGAGCATGGTGTCCCCCTGCACTGGCCACTTTGTGACAAGGGCACCTGAGGGTCCCGGGTCGCTGCTGCTGCTTGGAACACGATGTGGAAGAGCACACAGACCCCCTTGCACAGTGGGTGTAACAAAATGAAGGACTGTTAGTGACACCCCACCTCGCTGGCCTCAGCATAACCCAAGGGCCAGAAGTCACTTACATAGCAAGAGTGTCTGGCCCTAAACCTACCAAAATGGTGCAAATTCTAGTCACATCAAAGTGGATGCCTTTCTTTCTAGCTCAATGACCAATAACTGAAGCAGATCTGTGTAAGATTACGATGGATCGTTGGTTTTCATTTATTTATGCAACGTGGAAACGGAAATCCTCTCTGGGAATTTTTTATCACCTCTCATCACTTTCCTTTTGTGGGGAGCATGGTAGATGGTATCATTGTTACCAATTCCTTACCCTCCTCTGCATCCATGCCCTTTGCTCTGTGACTCCTCAGTTTCTCCCACTAGAAGTGGAATATAGTTCCCTGCCTCGTTTACTTATGTGGGATTTGGCCACATGATTTGCTTTGGCCAATAAAAAGGTAGATGTGATCCAGGTGAAGGCTTACTGTGTACTTACGGGGTTGGGATTGCCCGCTTATCCATCTGTCTTAAGCCATTACTCCAAAAAGAATGGAAGGCGGACAGAGCAGACCTGGACCAAACCCATGGCCTAGGGCCAAGCCCAACCCCAAGCAGCCAGCCTGCTGTGCATGACAGAGAATAAATGGCTGTTGTTTTAAGCACCGGGTTTTGAAGTGCTTTGCTATTTGATATTACTGTGGTAACAGGTTGGCTGAGACCAGGTATGACATCAAGAAGCTGACAGATCTCTGTCTCCAGACTTTTTGCTCCTTCTAGAAAATCCTACATCTCCTCCATAAAGTGTAGCCCGGGTTACAGGCTACAATCCTTCAGCTGCCTCTGGGGGTGGGTACGGGACAACATTTCAAAAGCTAGAGACATACACCGACCAGCTCCTTGCTTTTGGACCTGTGTCTGTAAGGAACGAGTCCCCAGCTAGAACTCCACTTTTGACACCTATTAAAAACATGACTTTCCAAATACTGTGGAGTGATAAACCTGAAAACAGACATTCCTCATGTGGCAAACACTAGGTCGGGTGCCGGAATTAGGAATTAGGCGGCGGGATTAAGGCTGTACCTTTTTTTGAGGCTCATCGGGTGTGTCCAAGGGAGTGATGGAGCCCTCCTCGGCCTCGGAGTGGTTGGACTCGCAGGAGGACACACTCACGGAGTCCATGCTTTCGCCAGAGCTCCCGCTGGCCGTGGACTTGGGCTGCTCTTTGCTGGGAGTGCTACTGGTGATAATGTCCGACCCCAGGAACAGGCTGCAGAAAACACAATGCCAGGCGTTTGGCTCTTACAAAGCTGGAATCCGTGATCGAGCAAATATTTTTGGGTTAAAGCCTTGATGTTTTCTCCATCTTTTGTGCTCTGTCCTTATTATTTTAGGAAAACATTTGCTACAAGGTTTCTAACAGATCATAGTAAATATCTTGTTCCAGTAGATTATTTCCAACCTCAAAGAACACACAGATTGCTTAGCTGGACCCAGGGCCATGTTAATCTGAGGTCTTTCTAGGTCAAGGGTTCTTCATTTTTTTTTAACAGAATCAAAATCCCATCATCAGACGAACTCCGTGTGGGTGAAGAAGGCTGGCCCTGGAGCTCTAGCTGGGAACTCATAGACAAAAAACCAAGGAGGCAGATTCTGTTTCCTACAAGTTGATGAACTGTAATATCTAAATCCCTTCACTATAAAACAACTCGATAAGAAACATTACAAAACCTTTTTAAAGTTAGGCATGTGAGATAGTAGGGAAAAATCCCTCAAGGCCAGAGAGGAAGGGAATTGAAGCCAGAGCAGGTGAGCTGGTCTTGCAGCTGCTCTGGGTGGGAAATGGGAGGTGCCAGCCTCGGCAAACGAGGGGCATGGGTTTAGCACATACACAGCCCCAGAGGTGAGGCAGGGAGTGGGAACTGAGACCCCTTCCACACAGACAGGACCCTCAAAGGGCTGCATCCTTAGGAAAAGATGGGCTAGAACAACATCTTCCTGTTGGTGCAGGAAGACAGCGGGGCAGCTTCTGTCTCTGTCTGAGCTTGGGTGAAAGAAAAGTGTCTGGAGCCCGGCCAGCGTGGCTCTGTGGTGGAGCATCGACCTATGAACCAGGAGGTCACGGTTTGATTCCTAGTCAGGGCACATGCCCAGGTTGCAGGCTCGATCCCCAGTGTGGGGCATGCAGGAGGCAGCCAATCAATGATTCTCTCTCATCATTGATGTTTCTATCTCCTTCTCTCTCCCTCTCCCTTCCTCTCTGAAATCAAGAAAAAGAAAAAGAAAAGAAAAACGTCTCTCCAGAAATCATATGTGATCTTAGAGTTGCTACCTAAGCACTCTAGGAACTCTCTGGACAGTAATACTCCTGAAGAAACTAGAATTTTAAATATATACATACATGTACATATTTCTGGAGAAATAAACCTTCAACCCAGGCTGCAGAGAATTCTCTGATAAAAATGAGCTCACAACACAAAATTGTAAAATAGATACAAGAAAGCATCCTACCAAAGGTTCTTCCAGCTGTGCAACTTGATGAGGCCATTCTATTTGTAAAGGTTCATTCTACCTCAATACCTGGCATCTCCGGCCTTCAAACAAGGCACCCCTCCCCGTAACGCTCCAAAAGACTCTCCAACCTCTTTGAATGAGTGAACCACTGAATGTAGGGAGAACAAAAAAGGACATTTTCCACCTTTGTATAAGTGCTAAGGTCATAAAATCTTTTGAAAACGCATGCAAACACCCTAATATGTACAAGAAATAAGTTGGGGGCATGTGACCTCTTTTATTCATAATAAACGTGCAAAGTCAACGACGATTACCAAGGATTACACCTGAGCATCTCGGCAAGATCCCACCATGAGACGGCTATAGAGAGCTCTCACCACAGGGCTCTGGCCCGACAGTCCTGCCTCCCCTGGACTTCACACGGGTCCTCACAGAGATTCTTGCCAGTGTTTTGCAGAGATAGGACCCGGGGACGCTAGCGCACCCGGCACAGTAAGAACGCACACTTGGGCTGGAAGGAATGTGAGAGAAGCAGGAATAGAAAGTGAGTGTGCAGTGGCAGCTACCAAGGACAGGGGAGAACAGCAAGTGGGCAAAGGATGCAGCGCTTAGGATGATCTACCTGTGTTGAAAGCCCCAACTCCTTGTGCAGCAGAGGGGACAAGAGGCCCTGCATTCCTCCCCTCACCTATCAAGGAGCCTGATTCCTTGTGCAGGTGTCCATCTTACCAGCTGACAAGGCCTGGTCAGGCCTTTGCGTTATCTCAGAAGAGAACTCCTTCTCCCCCATGACCGCAGCAATGAAAACATAGCAAGAGACTGTGGAAAATTCCAAGAGGTGAATCTAAAAGCTCAAAAATCTAGCATTTAGGAGGGCCAGGGTAGACATCCCGACAAGGAGAGAGGTTTGGCAAGACGACAGGATTACCTTAAAAATGCTTTCTATAAAATCACATGTTCCGCCCTAATCCTCAAAAGCCTCTTATCACCTGGTATCAGGTAGAAAGAAGCCCGAGAGGCTTCTGATAGCGGGAGATCACGCCATCCACGCCCAATAGGGGCTGCATATGTCACACTGGGAAAAAGACAATAACAAGTCCATGCGCTGTCCCTACCGATGTGACTCACTGAGGCCGGTGGAGAGACTGCCAGGGAGTACCAAACACTCACGAACAGAAATTTACACGATTAAGTCACTGGGAGAGTTGGGATGTGTCAGGTCACTCTGCCACGAAAACACTGTCCAATGTTACAAATGCTGTTCTGGCTTGGCCCTGGCCAAAGCAGATGTGTCACTCAAAAGATCAGACACAGGTATATGTCTTTTAAAGAGAGGGAGGTCTGGGTGTGTGGCGCAGAGGAGTAGAGCGAGCGGGAAAGATGAGGACAGAGGTGTGGGACAGCTGGGCGGGGCTGGGGAGATGCTGCAGACCCTCAAGAGTCCTGAGGGCCATGTCAGACTCCGGATTTTACTGAAAAGGAGACGGGTAGGAAGTGAGCCACGGAGGGCCTCTCCCGTGCCTGGATCTGAGCTGAGCATGCAGCCCTGAGTATGATGGACAGGCTCCTGCTTCTGGTGGTTTACATTCCCCTGGAAGGAACATCCAGTGCAACTGGCAGGGGTGGGGTAGACAGCAACGTTAGAGAGGGTGCTCTCTCAGGCGGTAACACTTTTGCCAATATTAACGCAGAGAAAGAGCACGCTAGGCCAAAGGAACAGCTACTGCCAAGCCCGGTGAGGCTGAAGGGGGCTGGAAGACGGCGAACTACATGGAGCGTCGGATGAGAGGAAGGTGGTCAAGAAGGTTGGGGAAAGATCGTGCAGGGCCTAGTGAACTAGGATAAGGAGTTCGGGTGCTACCTTAAAAGAAAACCCTGGAGGTTTTAAGCAAGGAAATGATAGAACCTGGTGTACACTTTAAGGGACTCCAGACTATGTGGATTGCTGGGGCCAGAGAGGGGCAGAAGCTGGGAAAGGTGTTGCTGGTGCTCCAGGTAAGAGATGAGGGTGGTTTGTACCAGGCAGAACAGAGAAGAATGAATAGATTTAGAAAATATACACAGTGAGTTCATGACAGAAATCAGCTATATAACAAGTCAGTGAACGGTCCTTCACTTTTGCCCTGGCTCAGGGCGTCTGTGTTGAATACCCTTCCTCTCCCCTATTCTCACGGGGCCCCTTGAGGCCCCCGGACCCTGCGTGACACTCACAGGCTGAGCCTCTTCACCATGCTCTTCCGAGGCTTGGGCGAGGTGGCGCTGGCATCCGGAGCTGCTTCCACCTCACAGGACAGGGCGTAGCTGGGGAAGAGAAGGGAGCGCGAGGTCAGGGCTTGGCAACTAAAGAGGTTGAAATTCACGTGATTTGCTGGTTTTATTTTAGAGGAAGGTTCTGATTACTCAACATAAAGATATGTACCATGTTGTTCTATCACACGTGTCAGAGGGCACTGACTCAATGACCAGATCTTACAAATTTACACATGTGCCTCCTCCCAACATCCCCCACTGGCATATAGACTGAGGCCGGTTAGTTCCACATGCCCCACATACGTGGATGTGTGCTTTGTAGCACCATCAAAGGCTGACTCCATTCTGTTTCCTGATCATTCTCCTCCCACTGCTAAGCCCGGGGAAGAACCATCTCCTCTCTCTGTCTCCCTCCTATTACTGTGTGTGTGTGTGTGTGTGCGCGCGCGAATGTACTTTCTGTAAAGGACCAGGCTTTGCAGGCTGCATGGTCTCTCTGGCAACTACTCAACTCTGCCTTTAAAGCATGAAAGCAATCATAAACACGATGTGAATGATTGGGCTGTGTTCCAATGAAACTTTATTTATGGATAAAATCTGAATTTCAAATAACTGCCCCATGTCACATCCTTTGTCTCTCCTCCTCCCCCCACCCCAACCATTTAAAAACGTAAAAGCATGCAGTGGGCCGATGTGGACTGCAGACTCTAATCCTCTGGGCTACACGGTAAAGACGACTCCACTGAAGGGCCAACATTCAAGACACTGGAGTTAACGTACCTTTCCATGCTCCCCAACCACTACTCCGAAACCTGTCCCTTGTGTCCCAGCCACACCAGAATTCTCACTGTCCCTCCAAACACCAAGCATGGCAGCCCACCGAGCCTTCACTCATATTCTTCTCTGTCTGGAATGTTCTTCTCCAGATCTCTCCTTCCCAGACCCGCCCACATGGTAACACTTCATGGCCATCTTCCCCGTTTCCCCCCATCCCTGGCCAAATGAATTGTTCCTGCCTGGAGATCCTGCAGCATTTTATTTCAATTCTTCATGAGCCGCCTCCCCTCCCTGACTGAAAGCTGGTACCAATTAACAACAGTGACACACATGGTGATGATCGGTGGTGGGGGTGGTGGTGGTGATGTAAGCACTTTAGCAATGTTTTCCCCAAATATGATTTCATTTAATCCTCACAAACAAACATCTTATAGAAGAGCATCCTGATGATCAGGAAGAATGAGTGACTCGTTCAAGGTTACAGAGATAATCAATGGTAGAGCAAGAATCTGAAAGCACTTCTTCCGATATCATCAATCCAGCTTTTCCTGCTACATCAGTACCCTTTGAAAGCCGAGCGTCTAAAAGGGGTCCTCAAACTACGGCCCGCGGGCCACATGCAAATACAAATATTGTATTTGTTCCCGTTTTGTTTTTTTACTTCAAAATAAGATATGTGCAGTGTGCATAGGAATTTGTTCATAGTTTTTTTTTAAACTATAGTCCGGCCCTCCAACAGTCTGAGGGACAGTGAACTGGCCCCCTATTTAAAAAGTTTGAGGACCCCTGGTAGAGTCTAGTAGCTGCTCACTAAACAGCTGTTGAATAAATAGCCATGTGAGGAACTGGGTGTGGTATTCCCCTCGCCAGCACCACAGCTCCACCTTGGTGGGCAGTAGGTCCGCCTACCTCTCTTCCTCTGTCAGGAGCCGCTGCCTCTGGAACCACTGGATGAACTTCTGGTCTGGGGTCATGCAGTAGCTGTTGCAGGCAGACTGTAAGAGCTTTATTTGGGCAATCACTTCAAATTCCTAAAGCAGACAGAACATCAAAAAGAAAGAGTGAGGAATAAGGCCAACCAAATACACATCTTTTCAATGTGAAGAAAAAGAAAATGCCGCATTAGGATAAATGATGGAGATTCTAGGGGAACTCCAAAGCACTGCCTTCCTTCGAAATAAAATAGCTGAATAATGCTTAGAAATTCTAACTTAGAATCTCTGAAGGCCTTGTCTGCTCTAATTGTCAATCCTCCGTTCCCCTTAACAAAGCAATCTGTGTGAATAAAACACGCTATCAAAGCAGCCCAAACTAGTTACTACCTAAAATCATAGTGACTTCCTTTTGTTCTTTTCTATTTTAATTATAAGGATAAAAAAGTTATTTTTAATTTGAATACTTCTAAAAGATAAACAAAAACATTTGGAAGCTCCCAAGTTCCCCACCCCCGTCTTCTTCAACTCTTACCCCTCAACAAATAAGTTATGGTATGTTCGAATATCTAAACAGTTCGGTGCCTCCAAACTAGAATGTTTAGATTTCCCCAATCCTTGGGTTTTTACTACTCCAGTAAATCATTTAACCAAGTCTTTTAAAGCTCACAAGAGAAGCAAGTATATAATTATGTCCAAAATTATTTATACTTCCTTAGATGCATCAATAAGGATTTTTATTTTTAAGTCAGCAATGAATATAAGCTTTAGCCTTAGGTTTTATACTCAAACTTTCCAAGAGTTCCACATGCTAGTCTTAAAGGGAAAGAGATTACCATCTATGGTTATTCTGAAGTTAAAGGACAAAGATGGGTAACAAGGTAACAATGTGTCTGTCCTTACAGGACATGACAGAGGTAACCAACAGCTGGCGGTCTATGGTGTCAGTTTCCCATCCAATGACCTCCGCCCTTGGTCTCAGTACCCTCAGGCAACATTCATCTTTGGCTACAGAAGAAAGCACACTCTACCAAGGACAGAAGTCTTATATCTGTCTAGGTTAGTGTATCTTGTTACCAGTGAACTCAGCTTGCTTAGCTCCTGAAGTTCTGGTTTTAACTTCAAGGTCATTTGCTTCTGAAAATTTCTCTGACCCCACGAGTTGGGGGATAGATGCCCCTCCTGCAGGCTCCTATAATACCCACTCCTTCTGCTCACAAGCCCTTCAGCAGGTCGCCTTATAATTGCCTCCTTATGTGTTCACCTTCCTCCTGGATTGCGGGCTTTCCAAGGCTAGTGAGCTCTGTGTTTTGTATGTGTTTTCTGCGGCAATACCCACACCTATCACAGCGTCTGACCCATGGGAGGTATGTAATCAATATTCGTGGAATCAAAGAGGAATGAATGACTAAAGAACAGTGAGAGTCCTCTGGGATGAAGTTTTTCTTTTTCCCACTTGTTTTCCTTTGAATCTTTTAAATACCTATTTAACTACAGCATGTCAACACCAAAGCCATACCAACTTTTCAAAGCTCTCTGTTTTATCTTTTTTTTAGTGCCATGCAGAATTATTCTACTGTCCACACAAAAAATTAAAATTTATGTTGAACACCCTTTCCTCAGCTGACAAGAAAAAGAATAATTCTTCAAATAACAGTGAGACCCTTTCCTTTCCTCTCTCAAATAGACCCATAAGAGTTAACCATCTTTATTAATTCTTCTATGTCATTTACTCTTAGGAAACCCATAAGAAGAGAAACCCGTTATTACTGAAGCCGATTGTAAAGAAGGGGGAGGAGGTGTAAGGAAAGAAGGGCGGGCTCTACAGTGGCTGGGCAGGATGTGAGCCCTGGCTCTGCCACTGGGTGACTCTGGCCACGTGACTCCATCTCGCTCAGTCCTGGTTTCCTCACCTTTGAATTGAGGATGAGAAATCTACCTCACGGGGCTCTTGAGGGATAATGTATGGGCGCATGCTGAGCGCAGTGGTATATGACAAATGATCAATAAATGCTAATTCATTTTTTCTGCCTCTACCAAAAAATGTAAGTCCCCACTTCTTTCATTTTGTCATCCCAGATAAGTCACATGGAAAATCAAGATCTCTACTTACCCGTCTCCTTTTCTCAAAGTTGATCAGCCCACCCTGAAAGGAATTAAGAGAGAGAGAGTGTGACAAACCAAACTTTGAAACACAGCCAACCCCTGTGTTGTTCTAGGCCTTACTAAAACCAATTGAAGGTTTTAATTAAGATTAAAATAAAGTCATAAATATTAATAACACTGTAATTATGGCTACTATGGAGGAAAGAAAGCATTGTTTGCTTCAACATTCTTTTAATTATAATAGGACAGGATAGGCAAACAGCCTTCTCTTAAACAACTAAAACAGTAATATTGAGGAATTATAATTCAGAATCCAAACACATTTGCAGAACCAGGAAGGGCAAGAGCTTGAGTAAATGTTCCATTACACTTTTTTTAACCAAAAGTAACAAAAACAGATGGTCCTTGACTCACACTAGGAACCAAATTGTCAATGGTTTATCAAAAGGGAAGTCTCTTCTACGAAGCATCATGAAAAGTTAAGTTTCAGTTCTTCACCCCCAGCTCCTATTCTCAGGAGGCTGAACTTAACTCTAAATCATTGTCACTCCCCCCATTCCCCAACACTGCTGAGTGTTTCCTGAGGCAGAGGATGGAAGGAAACATAGGCAAGGCAGCAGGAACGAGCATGTCCACAACATTCACGTGAACTCGGAGGCAGGTGTGTGCAAACTTACTGCCACTCCTTCTAATAAAGGCTGATTACATGTGAGAACCACGGGCGAGAGATGGATGCAAACATAACCTTCACTTTCATTTCAATATCAAACTTATTCTCCACTTAATATTTTAATAGTTATAAAAAGTAGCTTATTTGACTGGGACTGGGTCCAGCTCCTTTCCCATCGAAAGAGAGAGAGCATGTGTGCCCAAGTGTGGCTGCCTCAGAGCAGACAATAATAAGGAAAAAATGGAATCCCAGTGGGGGGTGTGCAGGAGGCAGCTGATCGATGTTTCTCTCTCATCGATGTTTCTAACTCTCTGTCCCTCTCCCTTCCTCTCTGTAAAAATCAATAAAATATATTTTTTTAAAAAAAAGTAGCTTATTTGACTGGGTCCAGCTCTTTTCCCATTGAAAGAGAGAGAGCGCAGGAGGCTGAACTTAACTCTAAATCATTGTCACTCCCCGATTCCCCAACACTGGTGAGTGTTTCCTGAGATAAGCTGAGGCAGAGGATGGAAGGAGACATAGGCAAGGCAGCAGGAACGAGCATGTCCACAACATTCACGTGAACTCGGAGGCAGGTGTGTGCAAACTTACTGCCACTCCTTCTAATAAAGGCTGATTACATGTGAGAACCACGGGCGAGAGATGGATGCAAACATAACCTTCACTTTCATTTCAATATCAAACTTATTCTCCACTTAATATTTTAATAGTTATAAAAAGTAGCTTATTTGACTGGGACTGGGTCCAGCTCCTTTCCCATCGAAAGAGAGAGAGCATGTGTGCCCAAGTGTGGCTGCCTCAGAGCAGACAATAATAAGGAAAAAATGGAATATTGAAAAATCCACAAACTTGACTCCCTACCCCACCAGATAGGATGGAATGTTAGGGCATATCACCCCCTCCCAAAACCCAACTCAACATCAAGTTCTTGCTCAAACCCGTTCCTTCATAAGGTCTTGCCATCTCTTTCCTCACATGGAGCTAATCATGACCTCCCCTCTTACCAAACTGCATCTGTTTGAATTCTTAATTTTCTATCAACCCCGCCAGCTTTGAATCTACCTCCCAGGGGATTGTGAGCCACTTCTGGTTACTCATCTGCCTCAGAGCAGACAATAATAAGGAAAAAATGGAATATTGAAAAATCCACAAACTTGACTCCCTACCCCACCAGATAGGGTGGAATGTTAGGGCATATCACCCCCTCCCAAAACCCAACTCAACATCAAGTTCTTGCTCAAACCCGTTCCTTCATAAGGTCTTGCCATCTCTTTCCTCACATGGAGCTAATCATGACCTCCCCTCTTACCAAACCGCATCTGTTTGAATTCTTAATTTTCTATCAACCCTGCCAGCTCTGACATCTACCTTCCATGGGATTGTGAGCCACTTCTGGTTACTCACCTTTGTATTCTTCATAGCATCTAGCACAGTGCCACGGACACAATGGGCCCTCAATAGACACTAACAAAGGTGAATTTCTCTCTTGGGTACCAAGGAGAAGGCTGCAGGTGCAATGTCGCCACCTGCACAGAACTCACCTCGATGTAGTCCTGGAGAGCGGTGTCGAGCATGGTCAGGTCGGTCAGGAAGGTGCCCAGGTAGGGCACAGTGCCCTGCATCAGCCCCTGAGGAGGAAGCACAACAAAACTGTCTTGGCTGTTACTGACAAGCCTATGGGTTTCAATAACCTCCATGCTGGGGCAAATGGACCTGCTGTGGGCTACGTTTAGCAACGTGCCCATTCGCAGAAGGAAGCAGCAATCTTTGAATGGCCAGGTAAGCCTTGACAAGTTTAATTCAGAACCATTCAGGGCCTAATTTGGGGGCATCGGTACTAACTCCATGAATGAATTGTTGAAAATTCCTACACAAGAAGTCCATCATCTGATATCTGACTTTCAAAGTTTTGAAAACTGAGCCTCAAAGCCAGGAGACCAGATAAGAGTGCCCTCAGGGGGCTTATATGTTGCTCAGGCTCAGGCCAGACACGTCTCTTCTCTTTTGGAGGAGTGGACACTCGAGTGGTTTGGAATGGCCTGGAGAGGGATGGCCTCGCCATCGGTGAGGGGGTGGCCGCTGCTCACAGGAGAAGAGTGTGCACCACAAGGGGGTGAGATGCCACTGCTACAACGGCCCCTTGGTCTAGACTTCATAGCTCACTTCCAAAGCATAGGAGGGAGAGGGAGGGGGAGAAGGAGTAACTTTAAAGGGGAACACCTGGCAAACTCGACATGAATCAAGGCATGAAGAGTAATATCACGAGTGACACCAGATGTCACCCTGATGTCATGTCATTCGCTCCTTGCCAGAATGTGATGAAAATGGCACTTCACCCTGTGACAGTCTTCCCCCAAACCCATAACTTCAGTCTAGTCACTAGGAAGACAACAGACTCACCCTGATTGTGGGACATTCTAAGGCAGCGGTTCTCAATCTGTGGGTCGCGACTGACCCCTGCCTTTGGCAGTCAACGACCCTTTCACAGGGGTCGCCTAAGACCATCCTGCATATTAGATATTTACATTATGATTCATAACAGTAGCAACATTACAGTTATGAAGTAGCAACGAAAATAATTTTATGGTTGGGTCACAACATGAGGAACTGTATTTAAAGGGCCAGAAGGTTGAGAACCACTGTTCTAAGGGCACCAGGACAGTGTTCCTTAAGATTGTCAAGGTCATGAAAAACAAGGCAAGACTGAGAAACTGGCACAGACCGGAGGAGATTGGGAGACATGACAACTGAACGAGGGGGGTATGCTGGGTTAGACCCTGGAACAGAAAGAGGACACTAATGGAAAAGTGCTGAGAAGCAAGGAAGGTCTGCCCTGTAGGCAGCAGTGGCTGGCCAGGGCCCGTGTCTCAGGATGACAGGTGTGCATGGTCATGGAAGATGTCCACGAAAGGAAACTGGGTGAGGGTTCACAGAAACTCATGCACTACCTGGAACTTCTCTGTAAATTCCAAAATAAAATAAAAAAATTGGCTCTTGGCAATCAGGTAGAAATACTTCAACTACAGGTATATACTAGATTAATTTCACCAAATTTCCTTTGAAATCATCTCTATCTCCATAAGGCACCAAAGCATTAATGATGTTGAAAATAAAATAAAAGGGTACTTCCATGGACACCTTCTAAGTTCCACTGAGGCACTTATGGAAATTTGGCCAAAAGAAACCCCCGAGTCTCAGCCAGGACAAGGCAGGCTGCACGTGCGAGGTGGCTGCTTCCTCAGCCAGAACTGCCTGGTGAGGGTCACGCCACGGAGGGCCCGTCCTTCAGGGCCTCCCGTCAGCGGCAGCTCGTCCTTCCCCATTATGCACTCAAGGTCTCATCCCGGACCAAAATACTCTTCTTTTTTTTAACAGCTATTTTTAACTTGTCTTTGAACAACTGAAGAGTTGGAAATGTTGTAAATTTGTACGGCTTTATGTTACAGCAGAGCCCTATCATTCAAGAACGTTCCCGACTTATGTGCAGCTTTCCAAAGAGAAGTCCTCTGTACACAGGATGAGAATATCAGAGTTGTCCGTCTCTAGTCTCCTCTCTCTGCTTTTCCTCTTCTATGCTTATCATTAGGGAAGCTTTTTAAGTAAAGCTAAAGATGATAATAACTATCCTTCAGTCTTAAGGAGGGAGGTCCGGCACGCCTCTGAGTACTGAGAAAGGTTTGGCTGGCCCTTGGGGTTAGGAGAGCTGGGAACTGACTAGAGGGTGGGAACAGATGAGATTTCCCGGCACATGATCAAATCCTCCTGGGGGCGGACACTCTGTCCCACCTGGTCCTGGGCCACCACGCGTGCAAAGCTGACTACGGAGGCCTTCCCATTGGGGAGTGGAGCCCAGGAGGTCTCAAGGCCAAGGTGGCAGCAGCTTCTCAGTGCAGGAGTGGGTGGAGGAAGAGGGAAGGAAGTCTACCTGCGGCAGTGTGTTCCTTACAGAAAAAAAGTGCCCCAGAGAGCACCATGACCCACGACTCTCAGTGTTTACTTCCTGCTGGGTCCAATGGGAGTAATAACACTGTTCCTTTCCTGCAGATCCCCAGGGTTAGTTACTGAGAGCGAACGGGCAGGGAGTAGAGATGCTCACGAAAGCCTGGGCCCCTGCAGATGAAGGTGCTGGTGGCATGCGGGGGCCGCTCCCCACCCAGGCGGCTCTCCCGTGGGCCTCGGGAAGATCCGGGTGCACGTACCATGTCCTTCTGCAGCTGGAGCCGCCGCTGCGTCCGCTTCTGGTTTTCTTTCACACTGCTGTCCAGGTTGGCAAACTTGGAGGTTCCTTCCTGGAAGAGAAGCACACACAGAGGAGAGTGATGGAGAAGGACCCTGGGAAGAAGTGAAGTGGCGCCTCGTGGCTGACATGGACCCTCCGCACAACTGTCTGGGTGGCAGGCAAAATGGAGAGGCCTGCAATGGGCTCGGGCTGAATTAGGCAAATCCACGCTGGCTGGTTGCAAGTGGTCTATTTGTAGAAAGACCTGGGGGCCTTGCATTATCCTGTACCCCCCTACATGGTGATAAGAGCCCTGGTTTGGTATAAAATCAATCGTCAATCTAAGACAGGCGATTCCTGGAAGTGGAGACAAGTTTTTACACATCCCAGATTTCACTCAGTCATCACACGGCCTGGAAATGAAGATCTCTTCCCCTGGACATCGTGTGGTTTTTCGCTCTTGGCCTGAAGTGCACCGGCCAGCATTCTGTGAAAGAAAAGGGACTATTTCTGTGGTATTTCTTAGCCAAGTGAAACTTTTGTGCCGGAAGTTCTTTGAGGAAGTCCAGTACTGGGCACAGCGCGAATCTGTGAAGGCCAGGACTTCATACACGTCCCCCGTTTCCTCCCCCAGTCAAACCTCTCAAGTTGCCTCTCAGGTTAGAACTCTTACACATCAATCCTTCCTCTGGGCGCCTGAGGACAGATGACCGTCCCTTCCCTCCTCCCGTCTGTTGTAACAACAAACTCTTTTAAACTCTTCTACATAATGACTAATCTTGAGTTTGCTGACTGAACATAAAGTGTTTTCCGTTTTGTGGTTTCAGTCTTGTTAAGTTCTCATTTTCCAGGAACTGTATGAATGAGAGGCAAATTGCACAGTTCAGTTGCATATAACCTCTACTTCAGTTTTCCCTTAGTCAGTTTCCCTGGGTTCATTACGTTTTCATAGCATGTGACCTTTCACTACCGTACGGCTGCTAAGGGTCTTCCTCGGTGACTTGGCCTTCCCCGTGGCAGGGAGGTGTCAGTTACCTTCTTCTATCACTCACAACCCTTAACCCAGGTCCAGGGACACTGCCGGGGACAGAACCCATAGTGACTTACTGTCCATTTTAATTCTCCCTGTGACAGAGGATCATCAGGAGCATTACCATTTAATAATCTCCTACTTACAGTTTTTCCTGGGGGTGAATGAAAGGGGCTGAAATGTGCCATTTCCTGTGCTAGGAGGTTGTGAGTCCTCTCAAATTCTTGAGAATTTTCTTGGAGTAAGAAATCCATTCTTTCTGACTTTAATATGAGTGTCCATCCAGTGTGTCAGTCCTTCTGGCTCCCTTCCACTTTCTTAACCGTCAGCAGAGGAATATGTGTGGAAATTATTGCAGATATACCTAAAGTTCTTACAAAGGGCGTCGGAACAGTCAACAGGCTCCTGAGAATCACAGAATAACGGAGATGGGAGGGACCTTGACAACGCACTAGGACAACCTGCTAATTGGTGGAGAGGCAAAGCCCTGAGGTGGGAGCCAGGAGACCACTGACTTGATGACTTCGTGAGGAGAGTCCATCGCTGCTGGATGGTTGGCTAGTGCAGTTCCTCCAAATGGGGTGTCCACGGAAAGTCCACTAGTTGCCACATCCCCACAGTTTCAGTTTCTTTCTTCTGAAGCCTTACATCCTCTGCTCTGCAACGTCTCAAACACCAATCCCTCCACACTTCTCGAAGCTTTTGACAGGTTTGGTGATTACATCACTCAGGGTCTTTCCTTCTGCCTCTTCTCTGCTCTTGCTCACACTATCTCAGTAATTCTTCTTTCTATCAAAGTCATCTTCCTGTTTCTAACTATACTCATGTCTTTGCATATACTATCCAGGCCCAAGACCTTACTCATCACCTATGTTGGGATAGATTCCAAATCTCTCCCTCCATAAACCTCCCACTACTCAACACTCTCATCTTTCCCTCTCGCTAGTGCAAATTCCTCACCTGAGTCTCACCTTCTCTCTCCATCTTTAGCAGAGTTCAGCTGCCCTCACAGATCCTGTTCCTCACCTGAGAGGGGCCTCTTCTATTCGGGAGATACACAGGCATGGGATCCTTCTCAATAAATGTAGATTAAATTGTAGCTTGGCCCTGACCGGTTTGGCTCAGCAGATAGAGCGTCGGCCTGCGGACTCAGGGTCCCAGGTTCGATTCTGGTCAAGGGCATGTGCCTTGGTTGCGGGCACATCCCCCGTGGGGAGTGTGCAGGAGGCAGCTGATCGATGTTTCTCTCTCATCAATGTTTCTAACTCTCTATCCCTCTCCCTTCCTCTCTGTAAAAAAATCAATAAAATATATTTTTTTAAAAATTGTAGCTTGAAAGCTAATGGTAATTATTTGAGTAGGTCTTCACAGTCCTCACAATTTCCTGCTCCAACTCTGAATGTGTGTTTGGGTGCTTCACTGAACAGTACATCTGTACCAGAGCCAAATTCTTGGGCCTCCCTGGAAGTTATTGGTGTCAATTCAACTGGGAAGAATTCTCACTACGAGTCCCAAGAACCAGGGAGATTTGTGATGTTCTGCTTCCCTGTGGTTGTGAAATTTGCAGATTCTGTAATTTACCTGCTTTGAATTATCTAAGTTCTAGAAATCATAAGGAGGTGACAGGTTTAAGATAATTTTTGAGGAAAATAAAAACATTTTTTCCCAACAAAAGGAAAACCATAGATTCTTGCTGATTATTATGTTCCCTCAGTCATTACATCTACCCAGAAGTAGAAGAGAAGAGAAGAGAGGCCATTTAAGACTAAGATTATACAACCACAAATCAGTCTAAGTCCAGGTGGTTCTTTTGAGAACCTAATACCTTGATTTCATTTTCACAACTGTGCTGAGAATTAACACCCAGAATTATATATTTCATAGTAAAGAATGATCAACAAAAATGACTGGAAAGAGACCTACGTGTACATATGCACTGGCCCCAACAGTCCTCTATCATTAATGATAATGCACAGACTACATGAGTTCATAGCCAAGTTTTTCCTTTCTTTGGGAGTGGGGCCTTACATAAGAAATTTCACTTAGAGCACTGAGGTAAACTTCTACTGTTAAGAAAGGTTTATGGGACCTTTAATGTCTAGAGATAGCTTTGCTTCTAAGGTTTCAGCCAGAAGACCGTCAGCAGGCAATGAGCTGCACACTATTCAATTTATCTACTTTGCAAGGATGACTCAGAGCTCTTGCGATTTGAATGTGTGGCTCCAGTTGGTCTAGCTTTCTATTACTGACCGGGAGACCACTAAGCCACCTCCTTCCAGTCAGATGAGTTTCCATTTAAAGTCTGCAAATCCAGGGGGATGTGGAGCAGCGAGTAGTAATGTGATCTCAGCGATCATTGTATAGAGTGCAGTTGAGCAGGTAGGCCAAATCCAGAGTCAGACATCAGCACAAACTACCCTGCTCACACCGTCTTCTCCAAGAAAGGCTGATAGTGGGCAAGTTGTTAAAGTCATGTGAATTATAAGACCCATCAATTCATGCAGTCAAACACTTGCTACATGCCAGGCACTGTGCTGGGCATCAGGGATGTACCAGTGAAAGAGAGAAACCCAGTCCCTGACTGAAAGAGGCTTGCAGGCCAGTAGGGAGACAGGTGAAGTACACAGGCAATGCCAACGGGACATATGAGAAGCGCTAGGTCAGAGGATGACCGGCTTCCTCTGGAGCACATGCAAGGAACCTAGCCAGGCCTGAGGGTGTCCAGGAGGGCTCCCAGCAGGAGAGTGTACACTCCAACATGAAGGATGAGTAGGACTTAGAAGGAGAACAATCAGAAAGACCATAACAGATGTCCTTGGAGGAAGGACTGATCTAACAATGATCAACTAGACACCTTTTCTTAGTCACCCCACCTCCACTTGACTTTCACTCCTATTCCAAGTGTCTGCCTAAGGTCACATATGCAACTTATACTTCATTCATTTTCATGTGTCATGCATACTTTGGTTCCATGTGTATATAGCTTGCCAAATACTAAAAATAACTTACATCTGCATAGGGCTTTCAAATATTTTATCTTAGTCAATCTTCAAAACCCTTCCATGAGGTCAGTGGACTAAATGCTATTGTTGTCTCCAATTGATGGAAAGTAGAGTAAGGACAAAGATCCTACCCTCCAGTTGCCCAGTTCAGGGCTCCCCTAGGGTGGCACATCTCCTGCTCTTTTGTAACTGTCCACTCCTCTCCCTCCCCCATGAGACTGTCATCTCCTTAAAATCAGAGACCGCCTTCAATATGGTTGTACCTCCAATACCCACTACATAGTGAACGCTCAATCAATATCTGTTGAACCGCTGACTTACCTTCTCTATCAAGCTGTCCCCAATCTACCCTGTCCCCAACTCCCAAGGGGTCAGAAGAGACAGTTTTATGCCTCAGTGATAAAGGCAGGTTTTAGAGTCTCACCAGGTTGTATCCACATCTAGCTCCACCGCCTACCACGTGTGTGACTTAGGGCATGTTATTTATCTGACTCTTGGCTACCTGCAAAATGAGGATCATAAGATCTGCTTTATAGAAAGGCTATGAAGATGGCTTCTGCTCTATGTTCACCTCTGATGAATATTCACAGCCTGTCATGTGCACCTTGGACTTATTCTCATTTAGTGTCTTTATCTACCAACTGGAAGGTGAACTCTTGAAAACAGGATCTGTTAGCCACCTTCATACCTCTCGAGCAGCGGTTCTCAACCTGTGGGTCGCGACCCCTTTGAAGGTCTAACGACCCTTTCACAGGGGTCGCCTAAGACCATCCTGCATATCAGATATTTACATTATGTTTCATAACAGTAGCAACATTACAGTTATGAAGTAGCAACGAAAATAATTTTATGGTTGGGTCACAACATGAGGAACTGTACTTAAAGGGCCAGAAGGTTGAGAACCACTGCTCTAGAGGCTGGCCCAGTGCTTTACAAATATTAGGTATGCAACCAGTGTCCGGAACAGTAAAATGCAGCACGCTCTACCTGTACCTCGCCCGGGGTTCAGCAGTCAGCATCATCTGGCATTCAATAAATATTGCTGACTGACAGATTGTGCAACGTAGTCCAAATAAAGGATGTGGAATTGCTGGCTCGGCCTCTGTCATTCTAGGAGATGTTTTTGCTGAGAAGAAATATTCCAGGGCCTCTTACCCACCCAACTGCCAGCACTTGGTATTTGCGGAGCAGCTCGTTAAAGAGGGACGCACACGAGCACAAGTTTCACAATCTGGTTGCGTAACAGTGAAGCCAAGGAGCTGGACTTTGGATTTTCTCAGCCCCAAGCTTCTTAGATTAGGCATTTTTAAAAAAACAAAAATCTGCCTTCTAGTCACTTGAGGCTTTCTCAGACTGCAGGAATTTAAGGAGCCCCTGCACCCCCTGCAAGCCACCGTTCCCTTGAATGGATTCCAGAGTCAAGAATGCCACCCGTACCCAGTGCCTCACCTTCATCAGCAGTTCCCGGCTGGTCAAATGATTATTATGGTCCGAGAAGATATCGGAAAGTTCTTCAAACATTAGCATGCGCTCTCTGCAAGAGGGATCAAGAAAATATGAACAAATGAAGTTAGGAAAACTTACACCTTCAGTCCAGCTGTTCCCAGCACCTATAGCTACAGAGGGATCACACTGATCTCAGGGTCAGGGAGTGATATGAGCAGATGAAACAATGACTTCTTCCATGCAGGGTGGCTTTTTTTTTTTTAATAGATATGATCACTTGTGTGAAGAGAGGAATATTTTCTAACCATGTGTTTTATAATCATAAAAATATTGTTAAATTGGGGAATTAAATTGTTCAACTGGGACATGTTCTCTTCAGAAAAAAAAAATCTATCTTGGCAACACACACAGCCCCACGGACCTGAGAAATTATCTTGGCCGGTCCCCTCATTTTAGAGATGGAGACGCCAGGGTCAGGGATGGGCCCAAGTTTCCACTAGTAACTGCTGAGCGTTGCAGGTACAGAACCCAAGTCTCCTGAATCACAGACTCAGAGTAGAGGACGGGATCAAGACGGACTTGGGAGTCAGAGGAGTGGGTTCAAATCCCAACTCCGCCACTTTCTCGTCACGTGATCTTGGACAAATTGCTTCTCTTTTCTGAGCTTCAATTTTCTTATCTGGACCATGGAAATACCAATAGTCGCCTGCAAGACTGCTGTGAAAGCCAGCAGAATCACACATGCCAAGAGCCTGCTCTGTCCTTGTTCTTTTTTGTTCACTACGTCTCCATGGGCCTCATGCTTTAATCCACGCACCCCTCCAGGGTTACCGAGTGGATAATTCTGAAGGCAAAGGATTAACAGGGACGATTCCATTCCATATGCAGCATTTTCATTATCACGAGAAAGCCATTATTAAGAACTTACTTGTTTCACGCATATAATATTGCTCTCATAATTAAGAAAACCATGAAAGCTATTTATATTTTGGAAAAACAATTAAGAAATTGATTACATGTCAGGCTAAATAAAGAGAAATAAGTAGACATCTTCTTTGTCCACTGAAAGTTATTAGCATAAAAGGTTACAGGGAAATGACAACCCGTAAGCTATCTTAACCCTGTCACTTGAATTTAGCAACGGAAAATATGTAAGGCTGATAACAGAAGTGTCTTCTCTGAGGAGCTGTGACACTTCGGCAGCATCCCTGCTCAAACGTGAACCAACCATCCAACTACGAAACAAACTAGACCCCTATGTTGTGCAGAATGCATCTCTGAGGCTGATTCTGTGGTGTGTTCTTTGGATAGTTAATAAAGCCAGCTGGGAGAATGGACTTTCTCATATGAACCAGGGAGATTAGGATACAAGTCCACTGATTTCCTCACTTGTGTTTTAGCCTCAGATTTGCTGGGGAAGAAGTCTCTGGCTCGCTAAGTGGCTTTTCATAGTGGTCACTTTATCACCCTCCAAAGAAAGATAGGATTACCCTTGACGGCAATCAGAGAAGGCTGCAATCAGGCAAGGCTGCATTTTAGCACATGCCCATGAATTTGATTTTGACACCACAGTTGGGGAGCGGTGATAAGGAGAAGGAGTTGGAGTTGGGGGTGTTGAGGATGAGGACTCTGGACACAGCTGACTTTCCCATCTGTTTCCCCAGGGCTTATTATCTAACAATCTTATAGGACCCATACCTTTCAGAACATGTATGTGCAGAGGAAAATCAATCAACTGATCTCCCTTTCACACAGAGTCACCTTGATTATTCAAACTAATGCAGAGGAGAAAGAACCCACGTGCAGGGTGGTAATTAAGAAAGTTGCTCTGGACTTGGGAAAGCCTGCCTGCTAGATAACGGCATCATAAACAGAGCATGAGCTTTGGGGTCCAAGTGGTGGTGGCTTCCACAGCTCTGCAATGCCAGGCATTAAGATCATCCATTTCAATGTTTCCCCCTTTACCCATCAAAGAATTATGTAATAAATAACATAATTCTCCCAAGCAGACTCTCCTCCGACTAGGACTATGAGCTCATCAATAACCTTGAGATCCCTGGCACTCACTTTTTAGCGTAAATCTAGGAAACTCTGCTGTACCAATCTGGGGCTCTTGCAGTTTGGAGTGTGTCTGTCCCTTTGGGCTTAATCAGCTCTGAGAGAATGGATGAAAGTCAGTGCTGGACCTACTCTAAGGACCAAACCACCAATTCCACAAGAGCGAGCCTGCTAGGCAGCCAGCTGGCCTCGCTCCTGCCTGAAATGGACTATACTGCATACAGTATAGACTATAAACAGTTTACACATTCTTCCCATACAGCCTGACTTCTTGATTAGCTCAAACCTAGGCGGACCTGTGGTATGTAGCTGGCCTAGTCTGCAGCCAGGACACATCACATCCCCCAGCCTCTCAGCCTGTACTGCCTCGGGGCCAGAACTGCCTTCTCACTCACCCTTCCCTCCTCTGCAAAAGCTCTCTGGTCTACAAGGGAAGCTCTGG